CCATGTCGTGCTCAAATGTTGCCATGCACATCTGTCACAGGAGAGACGTCATCGGTTATTGCAGGCCATGTATCAGCCTGTTCCTTGTAAAACAAAAGTGTTTATGGAAGGGACCTACTACAGGAGAAACAAGCTACGCTGATCAAGAGCATCATTCCTACCCTTTGTCACCATAATTTAATTTTAAGAACATTAAATTCAATCGCATATTTCAGCCCGTCAGTGTTCTCTGCAGCTTCAGGGGTAAGGCTGCCCCAACACTTATTTTACACCTTTCTGTATCTCTGTCACAGAAGAGGTATTGCACGAGGAGATGCTGTAAACACCCCTAAAAAACCATCTAATTCAGGGTCCAGAATGGGTGCCACACTCAAGATGTTACTCTGCTTATCATTAAGGCCGCATTCATTCATCAGATACTAAGCTTTACCCTAGCTATGGAATCAGTCTCTTACCACAGGCTTTCCTACAGCACCTCCCATCACAGCATCCCAGCAGTGACAATCAATAACCAGTTTAGGCTCTCACAGCACTACACGGTGAGCTGGTGGTTATACCCGCATAATTTTACCTCTTTTCAAAGTTCTCAAGACTTGACAAGTAAAAGAAACCTTAAAGACTTTAAATTACAATAATCACTTTAAAAGGACACAAAATAATTCCACGTTGGTAGCAGCATTTTGCCTAGTCGCCCTCTCATCCAACACCCGCTCCTGCTTCCGGAGCTGAGCACCTGAGAGCGGCGGTGACGGACCCTGTGCCAGCCATCAGCAAGCTCCCGGGAGAAGCAAGAACTCGTACACCAGCTCACTTTGCAAGTACCTGCTGACTGCACAAACCCCCAGGTTTTTAACCCCTTGGATTCTACTCCAGACCGCAGCGGTTCAGTGACCACTAATGCTGCTGGTCTTTCCTCCCCTCTTCAGCATCGAGAACTCCTGTTCTTCCCCAGCCCCGATCTCAATCTGGTAGCCAGGCAGAGAAAAGAGCAGCCCCTTAAGCCCATCTTTACCCAACCAATTCCTCATCCACTCCCTCCAGCCGCCCCACCTCAGGTTCAGCTCCAAAACCTTTGTACTCCGTTCAGTCTGTCCCTACTTGACCCTGCCCTGAAATCAGCCACAACCAAGAGGAGACGTCCGAGGAGCTCACCAGCAGCCCACAACTCCTCTCCCCCACTGTACATAACGTACCACTGAGACACCGTGCAAGCCATCAAAGACATTTTCCTGCTAGAGTTTGAGAATGTTCTGGGAGAAGACTGCAGGCAAGTTTCCGATAAGGATAAAACGGGACAGAAAGAAGTTGCTGTAAAAGGCTATCTGCCTCATCATTACCAGTTAAGCCCCAGATGCTTGAACAGACCACTCCTGCAGTCATTTTGTAGCTAAGTAAACAACAAAACAAAAGCTCTTTGGGACAACGGGCTCTTCTACAAAACGCATCTCTGGATTTTAGAGCAAACCAACCGAATCTTGCCCTGAGCAAAGCAAATCTCACGCCGATTTCATGCTAGCATTACCATCTCGTGAGCCTTCCTCTGTTCTTGGTCGAGAGGGTGAAGTACTTGCAGCCCACATATCTCACACACATCCCCGTGGAGGTAAAGGCAGCGATCTCCAAAGTGGCACGCTCCCGCCGCGGCGTAGGGACACAGCTGCTCCCCACTGGCACAGGAGCTGCCAGCGACCGGATCTTCCAGTCCGCTGCAAATAGCTTCCAGGTACGAATGGGGCTTCACTTCCAGGTTATCGTTTTGGTCGCTGCAACACACCACGTCGCTCGCGGCGCTGGGTTTCTGCTTTTCTTCATTCAAGCCACACAGATCTTAGGAAACAGAAACATAACATGAGCCATCCAAGACACTGCACAAAACCCACACAAGAAGCTCCGTATGCTTTATTTCCAATGATTCCCGTTTTTTTTAATTTAAAAAAAGTTTTCTTCTCAAGGAAATCTCATCTCTAAGCCCCTTTTGCTCACAAATCACAAGAATTTTCACAACCTACTTACTGAAAAGTTTGATTTCAAGATGTCTCCAGCTGTTTTCTATATACAAATAAGCTAAAAAACCCATCTAATTTCAGATTAGGGCAACGGGCCCATTCAGTGTGCCAGCGGGTGCAGGTGGGAAGGGTGTGCAGGAGGCAGCAGGGCTCTGCCTGTCAGGCGTGGTCAGACATCTCCGTCCTCGTGTCCCTAAGGGCTGGCACAATCCTCCTCAGAGCACATGCCAGATACCCTGGCACAAAGCAGCCGCTTATGTTTCAAATGCCCTCGCATCGGGCACAAAAAGATCTGAGGGGCAGAGCTATTTTAACCCCAAAACACAAATCAAAATTAAAAAAAACACCCTCAAACCCACCCCCCAAACAAAACCCATCCTTCAGGGAACATTTGGCTGAAAGCCAGCCAGCTTGGCAGGGCCATTAAGCGGTATTAGAAGCCTCAGCTGGTCAGAAATCTGACCGTGCCTCTCCAGCTCTCCACAAAACTCAAGTGAAAAAAGGAGGAAAACTACCAACTCCCAGCAAGCATCGAGGAGGACGAGCACAGCACCACTCCCACTCACTTCTGTCCCTGAGCACCAGTGTTTTCTTCTCCCGCTTGGCAGCCTCGGGCGGTTTGCTCCTGATAACACCAGCGCTGTGCTCGGGGGGGTGCCGAGGGTTGTGCAGCGCTGCCGAGGAGAGGGGGGGTGGCACAGGGGCCGCTGCACCCCCCGGCGCAGGGAGCCTGGTGTGATCATACCTGCGGAAGGAAAGAGACACAACAAGTGTTACAAAGCCTAAACTTGGCACGGCAGCAAGGAATATTTAAACAAAATAAAACTGAATAGCTGCCTTGGTTTGTTTTTTTTTTTAAGGATCGTTCTGACAAGTTGAACTGCTCCGTCTCTTTCAAAGCCAGGCAAAAAGGTTTCTCAGTCTCAAAAAGATGCCTCTGAAAACACGCCTATATTTTCTTCTCCAGAGATGCCCAGCATAGCCGAAAGAACATTATTCATGTGCTTATTAAATTAGATCTTCGTCATCCCCTCACACAAACAGGTTTGCTGGCATTTCTCAGAGAAGCAACATCAGAACGCTGTGCAGGAAGGAGTGGCATTTCATAATCTTGGTTTCCCCCTGCAAGCAGCAAAACTTAGACTTTAGCTCTCACACTGCAGGAGAAGATGCAGTATTTGCATACAGGAAAGGAGAGGTGACGTCCAGCAAATACTATGGAGACATGCTCCAGCAGCAGAGCAGAAGCAACAGTGCAGTAAAGAGGCTGGTCCTGTAAAGCCATGGACACACCTGAACGCTAGAACATTTTTGATGTGACAAAAATATTCTCCATACCTGTTTCTGGTCCTGTACTTAGGACCTGTACATGCCCACAGGCATGGAATAGGTGCATCAAGCACCCTGAACTCCAGCAGAAGAGCTGGAGCAAACCAGCAATGCACTTTGCAGCCATCATTATGGTCCAGCCAGCATATGACACGGCCCCCATGAATAACACACCCGTCAGCAACGTTACACATGACTAATTCAATGTCAGCAGCTAATGGGAGCTGCAGGAATCACTAATGTTCCATCTCCCGATCAGAGTTTGGTACTATGAACTAAGCAAAGGAAAGGAAATACAACTCAGCTGTTGCAACCACAGCAACGCCGTGAGACGCCCCCCGTTGCTGTCAGGCGAAGGTACAGACTCAGGCTTCTCGTCCATGACCACAATTTTTCCACCAAGGAGCCGCAGGCTGCCCTGTGGCACATCCCTGGTGAAACGTAACATTAACTAACACGTAGTATTTATCAGAGTGTTTCTCAAGGCGTTTTGACCAGAAGACTTCAGGAAAAGCTGTGGTGCTTTTCCTGGAAACCATTTCACCCTAAGACAGAACTGAAAGTCCTCAAAATTGTGCATTAGACTGCATGGAGGCTACGAGCTGCACCAGGAGAGCTGCGCGAAGTGCTGCCAGCATGCTGCCCGCTTCCAGCCACTTCAGTCATATGGAAAGCACACCGTGCCGCCAAATGCTACTTCATGTGAAGCTGCAGGCTGGTTTTTGCGTTTAAAAGGTCCCACTGCAGTAAGAACCTGACGAAAAACATACGTGAAACCTAAAGTTTAATTTCTACAGAGGAAAATAATTGCAGAAGCCAAGACAGTGTAAAACAGTGATAATGGATCCATAAGCTGGTTTTGGTACTGGGAGAGAAAGCTCATATTTAATGCAATATTTCCCTTGTCATCTTATCATTTCTTGATCTTTGATTCCCTGGAGTTTAAAGCTGACTGCAGGTTATTATGCCCAGTTCTGCTGAACTCACTGTTCTCGAAAGACCCAGGTCTTTACCTGCAGCGAGCTCCATAGGCACACTGTCCCTTCTGGTAGTACTTGCAGATAGTAGAGGACTTGCTTGTAGATAAATCGTGTGAGAACAGACACTTACTTCCCTCCCGACACACTCCTTGCATGTAGTACCTGGGGGAGAAGCAGTTCTGGTCAGAGTAGTCGATTTTGTAAAGACGAGCCTAAGAAGGGGTTTACCGCCCAGAGGAAACTTGGAAAAGCATTCCCGTCTTTCGCGGACCGAGGACCCGCCGTGGGGGGGGGCGTGGGGGGTGTGTGCGACAGCCCGCCGCGCCCCGTCTGAGGCACCTCCGGCCTCACCGGGCGGCCGGGCCCGGCCCTCCCCGGCGAGGGGGGGACGCGCCGCGGGCCGGGCCGGGGGCGGCCTCCGCGACCTTGCCCGCGGCGTGAGCAGGCCGCGGCGGCCCCGGGAGGCGCTGGGCGATGCGGGGCCCGGGCTCACCTGCAGGTCACCTGCTTCGTGCTCATGGTCGCCGCGCGCCCGCCCGGCCCCGCGCGCCGGGGAGCGCGGAGCTCGCGGGCAGGAAGGGGCGGAGCCAGGCGGGGCCGCCCCGCCCCGCCCCCCCCGGCGCTGTTCAGCGGCGCGCCACGCCATAGAGGCGGCGGCGGCGGGGCGGGCTAGAGCGCCGCTCGGCCCGGGCCACAGAGCGGCGGGGCGGGACGGAACGGAGCGGCGTCATGGCGGAGGCCGCCATCCTGCGGGTGCGGCACTGCGGCGCCGCCATCTTCTGCCGCCGGGCGCCGCCGCGCTGCCCCGCCTGCGGCTGCCCTCTGCGCGGCGCCGGGCTGCCCGCCGCCCCCGTCCGCGTCCCCAGCCCCTTCCGCCGGGGACACCGTCAGCCCTGCGCCTTCCTCCTCCGGCCCTCCGCCGGCACCTTCCTCGGGTAGGAGCCCGCGGGGGAGCGGCCCCTGTAGGCCCCGCCGTCCCGCTCCCCACAGGGGCGGCAGCGGCCGCTGTGTAAGCCCCGGTCAGTCCCCTTTCCTGGAAGTGAAAGTCCCTTTTTTCCCCCTTGGCAGTAGAGCTTTGCCTCGCAGTTCGTGCCCTGAAAAGTGGCACCGACCCCGGGAGGGGACAGGCAGCGCTCCCGTCCATCCCCGACACCCCTCTTTCTCTTTCAGAGGATACGACGGGAAATCCGACCTTCACGTTGGAATAACCAATACGAATGGTAAAAAGTACTTCGTGGTTGCTTTGCTTTACAAACTACCGCCCCTCTCCCATGCCCGGTTCAGCTTTGCCTCCTCCACCTAAGGTAACCCAGAGTGTTACTTCAGAGCCACCTCTACTGTTGTGGTAATGTCTGCTACCTGTTAAAAAATGCAGGCTGCAACATCCAAACGTCTGATGCTTTGCTGTTGAAGAATGCGTGCTTCCTCTCTCTGCTGCAGGTATCAGAACCGGGAGCTTAGCTGTTCACTACAAAAAGAGTATCGTGTAAAGATCGGAAAAAAAAACAAAAAACAAACAAACAAACAAACAAAAAAAAACCAAACAAAAAAAAAAAACAAAAAACCCAAACCAAACAAAAAAAAGTCTCAAGTCCAAGAATTTATCTCACCTTGCAGCAGTGAGCACACAGAGCTTCAAATCAAAGCCATACTCCACTCTTCACATTGCACAGAACAGAATTAACAGGTGACTTCTGTTCCCGACACACAGAAATAAAAAGCTAGGCAGCCTCCTTCTTCTTTTAAGAAGTTACAGGAAATTTTGACCTAAACACAGTTTTTGCTAATTTGCTACCCCTAATTAAAAAGCAAACAAAATTTTAAAAAGCCACATTAAAAAATCATATCAGGTTCTCCAGAGTCAGCCTACCGTTCAAAATTTCACTTCAGATGTTTATTTAGTATAAAGATTGTCAAATCTGGGGGTTTAAAAAAGAAGCCTGGTTGTCCTTAAGTTGCTTTCATTATTAACAGACAGCTGAAATTATATTGTAAAAGTGAGAACAGGTTTTTGATAGGAGGGACTGCATTTTCTACTCAATAGCCACAGAAGGCCACTGATTGGAAGCTGGGGTATAGCTAGTCTAAGAAAGGATGGCAGCAGGGAGAACTAGTAGTAGGAGTTTAAAAAAAAAAGTTATGGATCTGATCCTCCAGTGCCACCTGACAATCTGTTGCTCTTTATTTTCAGGTGTGGTGTATAATTACAATGAAGAGGGCATTCACAGATCTGAAAGTGGATGGGAACAGTGCCTTAGTATCCCACTAGTACAGCCAGACATGTTTGGGCTGCTTCAGCAGTGGGATAAGCTCCTAGAGGACTTTTCTGTGGGAGAGGCCTGGCTTCCTCACAGGTATGTAGTTGAAAAGCTAGATGCAATAAGAGTTTTTAGTCTGGGATGATAAATTGGGCTGTTCCTTTTTAGACCCTGCAAGGGTTGTGGTTCATTCAGACCTTGCTCCTTTAGGACAGACGTTACTAACAAACCAGTCTAAACACTACTGTCGGGTTGTCTTGAGACTTACTGGCCTTGCTAAACACAGTTTTAAAGCTGTAAGTAACAAACTCATCTGCTGGAATGTAAAAGCTCTACAATAAGAGATCATTTTAGGGAAGTTTTCTTCAGCAACAAAATAATTTTGCATGAAAAAAAAAAACCAGCTCAGTGAAACATCTTTTAAGGGTATGCTGCTGAGTACAAAAGTAGAAAAGTCCAGGCTCAATTCTACAATTATTTCTCCTAAGTTTCAACAGCTGTAGGTTTATTTGTGTTTAAAGGCTGACCGCACCGATGGGATTCTTGCCCAGATCTTGCATCCAGATGATTTCTGTGTTGTCAATGATCAGAAATGGGAAATACAGTCAGGTTAATTTCCAGCTCTTCCAGCTGGTTGGTAACATTGCTTTGGATAGTTAAATAGAGGAAGACCTCTATATCTTTTGAATTAAACCAGTATGTTCCAATGAGAACATTCAGTTCATAGCTCTCCTTGAAGTGAATGCCTGATGACAGTGTTACAGGGCACGCAGCCCAGCTAACACATGCACTGCCACGTCATCAAGCCGGCTGATGACGAAGCAGCCTGCTCTCCAAGAAAATACCAGTCCTTGAACTGGCCGTCACTAACAGTATGTGTAGCAAACAGCCTGTCTGAGCATAGTTCTGTGAGCTGTCCAAGTTAATGAACATAGACATCATCTTATATAAATAAAAGAAACCCCACCATCAAGTCAGAAGCATTTTTTAGCAATTCTGTATGTGCTCAACTATAAAGTTTCAGAGAATGTATTATCTCCCCGGTACCAGATGAAAGAACTTGACCTAGAATAGAATGTTTAAATGTTTACGGAACTAGTAAAGCCAACAGAATTTGTGGGTGTCTGATAATTCTACAGTTCCTAGTACCTTAACATTATTACTACAATTAACTTGATGTCAAAAAAGCACTGGTAGGAGGTAGATAGATGTGTACATCTCTTCTACAAGCTTTTGTTTGTTTTTCCTCCATCTGCCACCTCCTGACAGAATGACCTACTTTTTCCACAAATAGAACAGTGATCACTAAACTGCTGAAAACTGAACTTTTTTTTTTTTCTTTTTTTTTTTTTTTGAAAAACAATGTTAATTTAACTCGGTTTATTTTCCCAATGGACAGGAACTGCGCTAAACTAATCCTGTAACTCCTTTGGGTTCAGGCCAAGCCTGATGCTAATTTTTTTTTGATTGCTTTTCACTTGCTGGAAGGATGGTATATAACAGCAGCTACAGCCATGCCCAACAGTACCTTAAATTGCCGAGAGATACTGGGTTTGCTTGTCACGATATAAAGACGTGCTTCCCAAAAAGGAGAAGCTAAGTGGAAAACACAAATGGTAATGAGAAGCGTATTACAGACTCTTACATTGTAAATACAAAGATAGTCTGGAAACAAAACCGAGAAGCTACGTGCTCCTCTTCATCATGGAGCTCATTCAGGAAAGCACTTGTATACTCATAAGTTTTCCAGACATGCTGCAGCACTCCGCAGACGCAGCCCTGAGCTAGTGAACCCAACATTTTTTTTTTTTTTTCCCCAGAGTCATTTCCAGATGTTTTGCACTGTACAGTGATAATGGCCACTCTTGAAAGTTACTCATAATTATTTAACAATTGTTTTGGTAAAGTAAGTACACCATAGCAATTCACTTGCTTCCTAAATGGGAGCTTGTAGGTCCCTTCAGATACCCTTAACAAACAAAGCACTGCTTTGAAAAAAACAGTGAACAGGGCTCAGGGTCGCAGGGTTGCTTTTGACAGCCAGAGTCCTCAGATCTTGCAAAAACACCCTGTAAATTCCCCGGGGCTGACAGGCAAGCCACAGAGAAGATCCCCTGTGGCAACACAGACCATGGAGCCACTGACAGTACAAGGCAAGGAATGAGTCACCGGGCCAGGAAGAACAAGGGAAAAACGGCAGAGGATGAGGCAACTGCAGAAGAAACTTGAGAATTAGGCAGATGGCAAACAGGAGTCTGAGCAGGTCTGCACCACACGTGGTTGTACAGGGCCAGTGGAAAAAGCAGCATGGTGTGGTGAGGGAATGGTGTAAATTACTGAAGTTGTTAGTGGTCAGCATGAAGCATTTGGGAGAATCTGAGAAACATTCTGACAGAGAAAAGAATGGGTGGGTGCCCTATGCTCCTAGGTCAGGGTAGAGGAGGGGGAATAAAAGGCAAGAATATTTTAAATGTCTGTGCCTCCTATTCAGTTAATATTTCCATCCTTGCAGAACTGCAACAAATTACTGCCAATAGGAGTTTGACTGGCACACGGTATAGCAACCCGTTAGCGATAGAATTCACTTGATTTCAAGCTTCCAAGTTAATGCCATACTGAAAGAAGTGCATATGACAGCACGCAATTAACATTACAGATTAATAATACATGGAAGACCAAAGGTTAAGAAGGTAAAAGCCAAATAAGAATATAAAAAAAAGAACTCATTATTGTGAAGTCTGCAGCCGCCTTTTTTTTTTTTTTTCCATGCTAATGGTTTCTAGTATCCCTGGCTGTAAAGTCCAACTTACAATGAATAGAATATTCATATTCTAGAATATATTCATGTTCTATAGCACCAGCATTAAAGGAAGGTGGCAATAATTCTTGGAGAGCATTCGCTTCCTTATTTCACTCAGTAAAATATTCCTCCATGCACAGTAATGGATTGGTGCTAACTCTTATTAACGAGATGGTTCTCCTAGGTATGAAGAACATGACCACAACTGCTACACATACGCACTGGCGTTCATTAACAGTGTACTGACCGCACAAGGAAAACGGCAAATGAGTAAAAGTGAATTTACAGAGAAGTTTGTGATCCCACAGACAAAGAAGGCTTCCAAATACATCACTCTGCATCAGGAGCTAACAGCTAATGATTTCTACATTGTACCCCTGTCCGATCAAGAAAAACAGTGCTGAAAATGACAAGTTGCTGTATTAAAACGTCTACAAAATGCAAGAGGAGAAGGAAGGCTTAAGACTTCAAATCTCAGGGTTTAAGATGCACGATCTACTTCGGGTCTTGAAAAACACAATTCATGCTATATGTTAACCTGCACATCATGGAAGGATTGGGAAATGGAAGTTGTGCATTGGAGTGAAATAGCAAACATACACTACATTTCTATGTAAAATTTCTGTGGGAACAGTTCACATGGAAAAATGTTTTCCTGTTTGCATTCACTATATGCTCTGTTCTGCCGAGACACTTAATACCAGAAATTGTAAATGCTGTGTAATTAACCCTTTTTTAACAAATGAACTGGGGTAACTTAAGATGTAGCAAACCAAAATGTTTTTTTTCCTGTCACATTTGTTTACGCTTGGGTGAAAAAAGGGGAATTTGTGCTTCCATGATGCTGAAGTTCAAAGTCCATGACAATGCGGATTCACTACATGCAAAATTATTTTCCTTTATTTTAATTACTAATAAATATAAAAACAAATAAATCCACCCTTTTTGTCAGATATATTTATTTTCTAATTCTTCTTTGCACTTTGCACATTTATTCTTCAAACCAAGACCAATGCTTAGTACTAAAAGATAATAATTTAGTGTCTGTATCTGTTTGTATTGGTAATAAGCAGACTCCTCAGCATTTCTCTGAGTTAAAACTTGAAAACTTAATGAAATTTAAGTTAAATAAAGATCCTCCAACAGCACTTTTACCTATTGTAAATTACATGGAAGTCTATGCTGGGGTCAAAATTGTGCAATCCATAATTTTGTGCAATTTCAATTTTTTTTTACTTACAATCTAGTTTAAAAAAAACAATTTCAGCTCTTTTTCCTCCTACTTTCTGCAAAGTAAACAGGTTTTAGTCTAGCTGTAAGTCCCATTTTCTCAAAGATGGAGAAGTAATCGGAAACGATGAGGGTTATGTCCACATCTATTTTATACTTTTGTATATACAAACGGCATGAGCCCTGCTTCCCCCCAACACTCTCCAGCTGCACGCGCCACACTTTCCACACTCCTCTCCCACCCCCACCTTCTTCCACTTCTTGCTAAATTCTAAATTATAGCAGCTCCTTTAAAAGTGTGTTCAAGAATCACAACGCAATAAAGACAACCAGCTTGAAATGCTCAATTCGGCTGCTGTCGGAGACCTCCTATCCACCCACTCCTAGTGCAAGGCAGAATTCTTCAGCTAGGATTTGGCTTACAAAAAGAAATCATGGTATGCTGTTTTGGAGTGAATCAAAATACATACTTCTTGTAAGTACCGTATTTTAATTGGGAAAATAATACAATGGCAAGTATCAGTGCTCTAGTGTAAGTTATTTGATACAACGGTACTGAAACATGAAGTACAGTCATCTGCAGCCAGGACACCTTGCCCCATACAGTCAACACAATCATGCCTGTTCAGCTTGAAAAAGCTATGATGCAATCAACATTATCATTTTACATCTTTCCGGTAGAAGTTGTATTAAATGAAAGCAAACGCTAGAAGATCTTCCACTTTGAGTTGTATGTAGTTTCTTACATTCATGACGTGGCTTTACAATCTAAACTAAGTAAACAAGAGTGTGGGTTTGTGTTTGGTGGGAATAATCTGTGTTGACACAATTTTACCAGCTCTGAAAAATTTCCTGTGCCCAGGAGGCAAGCCCCCTTTTCTCGTGAATGAAAACAGCAGGAAGAAAGTCCAGAGCAGTGTAACTGTCCCCAGCTATAATGTATCCTTACTGCTGTAGCAAATGTGTTCTCTCACAACACAGGGGAAAAGAAAAATAAAAATCTTAGCAGCGCAGTGAGGCAAGGAAGCCTGTTGTTCAAACACTAAGATGGAATTCAAACCTGAATCTGAAGTAGTGATACTTAAGATGCAGAGTAGCTGATACTTAAACATCCTGGCTCTACCTGAAAGACAGCTGAATACCTGCTGGGTGGGTTGGTTTGTTTTCCAAATGCGGTTTAGCAATAGTAAACATCCTATTTAAGAAACTGCAATCTAGATGATTAAATCTTATCAAAAAATTAAAAATTGCAGGCACCTAGTGTACCAAGACAAAACTGCTCAGCACTGTCCCATACCTCTATACAAAATGCAGCGGTGTCTCCCAGTCTGTTTTGCAACCCGTGATAGGCCAGGGCAAAGAGAGCTAAGAGTGCAGTATGAAAAAAAAAAAAATATAGACTGTTGTAGTTGCTGGATAAAAGCGAAAAAAGCAGTGATGAAATAGACTTACACTTGCCAAGCTAGAGAGGATGATTTCCTCTCGCTAGTTCAGCAAATCTTCATTATTTTCTTCACAGTAACTCATCTTCAACAAAAGTAAAGGTCATCAACCTGTGGCCGGGGCATCTTGCTGTCAGGGGGCAAGATGAGGTCCTTACTGTCAAGGAGGAATCCTATGCTGCAAATCCCAAAGGAATAAAGACATCTTACTCAACTGGGGAAAGGTGCCTAACACCTAACTTGGCTGCTATGTGCTTAGACCCCAGAATTAATTTAAATCCTTGCACGTTCTGGGAAGAGTTCCTCATTTCTGAGCAGTGCTTGTGAAAATAAGCTACTGAATCCGATGGTCTAGGCACCCAACAGCAATGCTCAGTATTGCAACAACCAAATCTCTCCCCAAATCTAAGCTCCTGCAACTTCATTAAGGTTATAAAGTCAGGTTTTGTCTGTAGAAGAACGGTGCCATAGGTATGCCAAAAGGTTATCTGACTCACTGTAATAAACTTGAGGACTGTCAAGTTTAAGTCCTCACTTCTGAAGAAATGTAGGACCCTGTGCTGAGGTACAAAACGAAATTAGCCTTACAATTCCCAAGTTCAACTCTGAAGAATCTGTGAGGTATTCCCAGAAAACTGTTAGATCCCTCATCGCTTGGGATTTCAGGCAGACATTCAGGTTTTTGGGACTTCAGTGGCCTGCAGGCTGTACTGTCTGTTCAGCACTAATGCCTGGATCTGTCAGAACATTAAAAATACCATCACGTCACTGCAGACTAGCCACCATTCAAACATACAGGCTTGTAAGCTTTTAAGGAAACAAGTATTTTGAGTTGGGACACAGCTTTCATTTTTTTTTTTCCTCTTCATATGCATTACTATAGTTCAGTTACGTTTTTCAATACAATATTCTCTCCAGTAAACGGGATATATACCTCATTTTAAATACCAACTGAGTATGTCGATAGAAACTGTTCGGAGACAATGGTTCACCATGAGAAGGATCAGGTGAAAAACCAGGAAGAACTAGTAATAAAAAAAGTAAGTTTTTTTCCTATACAGTCAGTTAAAGTTCATCTTGCTCATTGCGCTCACGGGAAGAAACCCAACGAGATACAATCAGTTCCTGAAATAAAAACAGCAATTATTAGGGGTGGGGGGAGCTACAGATAATCAGTGAGGGACGGGGATTAAGCCTTTAGCAAATTTACGTATATTATGTGACCATTGAGAAACTTTAGTAGATGACTATGAATGTGAGCTGGTTTCTCACATTTTTCTCCCTTTTTAAACATACATCAACCTTATGTTCTCCATAGGCATCCCTGTTTCCCCATGCAAATGTTTACATTCACAGTAGCAGCAACATTAAAATTTAAGAGATCTTAAGTCTTTAAAGAGCCTGCAATGCACTTCTCATGCCTTGGGGCACAAAGGAATCTAGTTATTTTATTGCAGTTATGAGTGCAAAAACCAAAGCATGCTAAAGAGCAGGGAACAGTTCAAGGGGGCTCTTACAGTTAGCTGGCCAGCTGCCCCAAGGCAACGCTACGCAGGTGAAGGAGAGAAGTAATTACTCACCTGAACCTTAATTCTTTTCATACATTCGGGTGTTGACATCTCTTCTTCAGTCATGTCAGATGGTCTAATCAAATAGCATAACATAAGTTCCTGTTGGTAAACAAAACACATGAATACAAGATTTTCAACTGATTTCTTTCTATACAAGTTTTAGATTAATTAGAAATGCAGATACCGAGTTTCCTACAAGATGTCTTCTGCAAATCAAGTTGGGGAGAGCTGTGTAACAGGCCTATCCCATTTTCCATATCAAAGCATAACACTACTATAAGATAAACTAGAATTATAACACAACACCTGAGCACCATGGCTACGAGTATGGAAGCACTATGTTTGAGGCTCTATCACAGAGAAAATGTTTTGGAAACTTGCCATTTCACTGTTCAAAAGAAAATCCTGGTAGATGGAGAGGGTTTTAAAAACAGAAGTAGCAAGCAGGAAAGAAGTCGGGTCTTTCTTCTGTTCCTCACACAACTTTTAATGTTCCTACAGGCAACAGAACTTTAATAAGCTTCTTCCAGAATTCATCTGGATATCAACAAAGGAGACTTATTTGCCTACTGGCAACTCAACATGTTCTTCAGCAGACCAGAAACAGAAAGACTCTCTTTCCAGCCTCACTCCAACTCCCTGTTCTTTGGAACTAAACGGCACCTGTATCATTTTAAAACTAGCATCTTACACTTACCTTAGAAGCATTAACAGTTGTTCTGTTCAACCCAGACAAGGACTTCCAGCTGAGTGGTCTGCGAAGAGAACCTTCAAAATTATCATCAACTAATTCGGCAATGACAGAGTAACTGGAAAACAAAGCAGATAGGGCAATTCACAGAAGGAAAATTACCATTTTAGGAAGACCATGAAACAAGAATTAGTGCCTAAAAACTGGCATTAAACAACATGCCAGCATGCAGTAAGCAAGTTGTGAAACTTAACTCTTTTTCTACTAGGAAAAAAGATGAAGTTGTGAATATGCTTAGTGGCACTTTCCCTCCCTGCCCTTCTGCTGATGTTTGTAGCATTCTCTTATGAATGCCAATCTGACATTTATAACCAATTTATTATCTAGGAGTTCAACCTGACTAGCTAACGAATAAAGACAGTTGTAATACCTTCAAAGTTTTTTCTCCCAAGTTACATAAATTATCCATATCATATATATTTTAAAGTCAGTATTACTAAATTAAGTTACTTTCCTGAGTGCATTAATCATACGAGTTCTAAATATGCTCATTGCAACTTTTAATTTTTAATGTCTTACTACTGTTATTTAAATTAAACTGTTTTATTTAGTACCTCTACTAAAAGGACTTTTGCATTCTCAGTATGACTGCATCTGGCAAAGTATTTTGAGAAAAGAATATGTGCTTAATCAGTGAAGATACTAAATTTGTGCAAGAGAAATTTACTAATTTGAAACTAAGGAATTAGACAGAAAGAAGAGCTTCAAACCTTGCATGATAGAAGGGGGGACCTTTTCGATACAGCACTGAAATGAAAGAGAAACACCTTAGATAATCACAGTTTCCATCCGAGTTTAATACTTCGGTCCATAACTATTTTCAAATGTTTTGTTTTACTAAAAAAGACAAAAATGCAACACTTTTGAATTCTGCTTAGCACTAAGTTGTCCCAACAAATGAAAAGAGAGGAAAGAGACAAAAAAGCCATGGGAGCAGCAGCCAAACCTACACACTGATCTAAAGGACTAACTCAGCACATCCTCGACATGCTCAAATGTACAAACTGCCTAATTCTATAACTGCATCAACAGTATTAAAACACTTGCTGGTTTGCATGCACATGTTAAAAAATACCCCCCTTTATGCACATTTTCCTGTAACAACAGGCATTACTGTACTGTTTATGTTGATCTCAGCTGAATGTAGTTCTTGAGTTACTTAACACTACTAATGATTTCTGTAAGATTAAAACTGCTATGATTAACAAGCAAGTCCTTTCACCTTGCATATCCTCCCCTCAAAAAACCCCAGAGAAATAGCCTTAGCAGTAAGTTCAGCAGAAGTCCAGCTTCCATCAAATGAGATGAATAATGAGCCATATGGACTTTGATGTGAATTGGGATCTAGATGCAAACCTGCTATTTCAGAGACCGTCACGTAACACTGCAGAAGATGTGTTTAGAAGGGTGTAAACTTGGGAAGGGAATTTCAGTGCAATCCTGTATTTACTAACAACATCATGAAGTAAAACAACAGGCCTTTTGAACTATCTCTTCAGCTACTGGATATGTGATGTTATTCACCACTCACATCCTAACCCTACTGCAAACCCACAGTCTAGCCAAAACTGCAAGGAGCAAAGCCTGCTCCAGTCACACAGCATCTCATTGTTGAGTTCATCTTTGGCACTGGAGTCTTGCATTGCTTAAAAAGAAGTCAGATGCAAATTATTCCATTTTTTTAAGGAAGCTACTCACAGAGATCAGTTCCGTACTTCAGTCCAACTTTGGGAACCCAACCCTTACTGCGGAAGTAGTGATACGCCATGTAGGTAGTTTTAAAATTGGGCTTCACTTCGCTGAAAACTTCCCAGAGCTTCAGAATAGTTAGGGGCTCCTAAAAATCACCAAAGGCATTAATGTGACTATATGAAGCAGATACTATACACAGTATGCTATAACAGCCAAATATCAACTATCAGAGTCTACTGCAAAGAGCATGAAGGGCAAATTGCAAAGGGCAATAAAATATGGAATCTCTAAATATCAGGCGGAAACCTGTTGCTCCATTTAGCAGGGTGTTATTTTTAGCATTTTGCAATCAGTCCCATAATGCCCTTGTCTAAATGAAAATCTGATAAGTCTTAAACTAGAAGCCTAAGTTTCAATTACTTTGTCGTTACATTAACAGTAGCTTGATATACTTATAGATTGACGCTTAAAACTCCAAGGAATTTTCCTGTTTGAAGAGAGAGAGACTATTCATCATATTATATATCCCATACTTGCTTTCCCCATTATTTCCTGCTGAAGTTACAAGAAAAACCTTTCTCTAGAGAAAGGCTGTGCTTAACTGCATTTGCCTTGGTACACATAAAATTTTCAGACCAGTATTTTATAAACAGAAATACCATTACTTATATGAAAAACTTCCTAATTATTCTGTTTGGTATTCCCTCCTTCAGCATAAAAATACTGCCACAGAAGGTAAAAATTTCAGACCAAAACATATCCAAACTAATGGCATCCTCAGTAATCCAAAATTAATCCAAACACTTACCTCACCATAATAAATACTTAAACATCCCAGAGCATACACCAAGAAAAAAGCCTGAAAAAATAAACAGAATAAATTTAACTGATAGCTAGACTCTTCCGGTGGTTTATATTCCATGCGAGAAAAAAGGTTCAAATTAATTTTATACAAGAATCCTAGCATCATCAAGACAAACAATTTGCCTGAAAGTTTCCTTTGAGATTTGTCTTCATGACCGTTACACTTCAACAGACACAACACTACCAAAAAAAAAAATAAAAATCTATGCACGTGCTATAGGTTCCTGAAGGCACAGTGTTAAAACTAACACACGTGAATATGTTTAGAAGCAGCACAATCAAAGCAGGATTTATATAAATGTTTATTTCTGGTATTTCTATACTTAAATCCTATCACTGGTCTTTTTATCAGTGGGATTACTCATCCAAAGTGAATGGGATTGGACCCTACATATTTTTTTTCACCATATCATATAAGTATTACAGGTTATTAAAAATAAGTTTAATGACTAAACCAATCCAAATACTTAGGAGACACCGGAGAACCACGTACTTCAAAAATGAATTAAATTATGTTGTAACATAGACTAATATTTGCTTTTCAGATTAAAACAACTTGTACTGCACTTGAAACATACCTCTTCCAAGCTGAGTTGTAAATATTCAAAAATCCTAAATGGATTTCTTCTGCATACTAGTTTTTCCTTCTTGAAAAGCTATAAGACAAATTTACTATATTACAAAAACTTTAAACTGGAAAATATACTGAATTCTGAAAACAGCACTAACGATATAATTTTTCTAAAAGATAAGGATACTTTTTATCCTTACATCTTCTTGCGCATGAGCAGAGTCATCTGCAGGACATAAGCTACCTTCCTCTTCCTCTTGCACCAATACATACTCTGGAGCACATTCTTTTGACTTGATCATCTCACAAGATCTGTGCTCAGTGCTCTCCTTAGCCTTGCAGCCGCAATGCACGAGAAAGCCATGCTTCTGGCAAGACGCTTCAGCTATCTCTTTCAAGTCACCCTGTTCCTGTTCTTCAGAGCTACGTGCGGCCGCAGGTTCAAATGCTGCATCTGCTTCCAAACAGGCTTTCTTGTAGCCTTCATTCTGGTTCTCAGGACTTAGGGCTACTACATTTCCAGTAGCTGTAGAACACTGTCTGGAAACTTCTGTATTTTCGGTATTTGGGCCTGTTCTGGTTTGCTCAGCTTCATCCTCTTCCAAAAATGGCAGCTCAAGAGGCTTAGTGTAATTTTCAATAATTTTGGTAATTGAGCAGTCATCCAATCCTTGCTGTTGCAAAACACTTTTAGCCCACTGAACATGACACTGGTACCTAGCAAACAAGTAAAATAAAGAGAAGTTCTAGGGCATTGCATCCTTTAATTAGTCTTAGTTTAATTAATCTTAAAAACGAGCATCTTAAAAAAAAGAAGACTCATCACCGTTCACAAAACAAATCTGAACACACACCTGAATAACTGCTATACAAAATACAACATACACAAAGTAATAGGACTCCAGTCTTCAGGACATTACTGAACATCAAGGTTCTGCTACCTTCTTTGGTTTTTTTTTGCCTTCTAAATTTCTGTGGCAACAAGCACCGTTACCTAATGTTGCACAAGAACCATGCATTGAGGACTACTGCTATATAGTTTCAAGCAGCAAGGAGTTCACCAGCCAAAAGATCCCTTCTCCCATGGAAGCCTTAAGACCGAATTCCCTGCAAAAACATCTTGGTATCGGGGCTTGCATGATTAAAATATTCAGCAAGACTTTGCATACAGATCTCTCACACACTTCAGCTGTATACAGCTAACTACTGAGGACAGTATCTTCAGACTCTGTTTTAGCTGTCTCTGAAGAAGCAATGGCATAGCAAAAACACCAGCATAAAAATCTTAAGTAGAAACTACCTTTGGTTTTAACCAAAAACCCCACATCCCTGAGAAATAACAATAATCAGCTGCTATCTCACTGATAGGAAAGCTGTAAATATTTATAATATTTTTCAATTACCATAAGAGTTTTTAGGGCCCCTTTAATTCTTTCTCCTTGGAAGATAACATTAATGTCCAGTTGAAGATGTTAATCTTCATTCTGTGAAAGTTACAGGTAGCTGAGTGCAGCTGTCCTTATAAAAACCTGGACAACTCTAGTACAATATTCTTTATTTCCCCAAACAAAAACCTAACACACAATTACAGACCAGGCAATGAAGAACTGCAAAGACAATTAAATGCAAATTGCATGTGTTGACACAAAACGTAAGTCCCTCTGACATCTCATAATAAAGCTATATAATTCAGTGCTGTACTTTTTGCTATTAAAAAATAGACTCCTGTTTGTCCTATGATTTAATTACCATGTAATTTGCACTTACAGATCTCTGCTGAGACAGATAACGATGCACCTTCTGCACCAATGTAATGACACTTTCATTGATGTTCAGCTGTATTTGCTGACACATAAAGCAGCCAAAGTCGAACACGAATGACAAGTGTCTCTGCAAGCAGTAATAACTGTGGTAGTAGTAGTAGTAATATTCCTACTGTTTGCCTTACCTAAAGTTGAGGACTGAAGGAGTATAACTTTTAAATTTAAGTAAAGTTTTTTAGAGTTATCATAGGATTAAAGCAAACAGAGTAACTATCTTGCACACTCTTACAGTTAGCTCATATACTGCTTCAGCAGAACAAAATAAATATGTGGTCCAACACCGTTTTCTTAAATGTACAAACTAGCAGTGTTAATAGAGACGTAAAAAAAAAAAAAAAAAAGTAAAACGTTTATATATTATAAAAGTTCAAGAGCTGCTTCAACCCACACTATATTAATTCAGTAAGGAATTGGGAAAATTATTTCAAATAGCCTGCCTCAGAAACTTCTCTTTTTCCTCCTCAGCTGAAGAACAAGTTTATTATGGTTGATAATATTATGAATTAATTACCCATATACTATGCATGCACTCAATCTTGGCTTCTAGTCAGCAATTAATACATGCAAGCTTATACGAAAAATCATGCTGAATATCACCTACTCTATTTCTGTTTTCTAATGTGATTTATAAATGAAATATAAAGAAAAGAAATAGAAGCAAGTCATCAGCATGTTTGCAGCCAACTACCTGAAAAGCAGTAAGATAAAACATAACATAGAATCATCTTTCTAAAAAAAAGCAAGAATAAAGTAACGTAAATTAACTTACTTTTTTGATCCAATTATAGGCATGTTTATGTTAGCACCTGTATAAAGAAAAATCATACGTTGTTTCATCGATACAAAGATGTTTTCACATTATTTTGAGCCTTGAGGTAATCTGTGGCCTAAGGTTTACTCACATTTTCAATCCCCTCTGCCATTTTGGTCCAACTTTTATTCAAGAAGGACAATAGCAGAACTAGAAAAGGTACAGAGATAAAAAGATTGAACACCCTGTACAAGCAGAACTAAACATGCTATTTTTCTCCAGCCTGTAAGAGGACAGTCTTTGTATAAACAACCAAGAGCAAATCAAGTGTAATTGGCTATAAACAAATTTAAAATTTCACATATCCTTGCCTCATGATTTCATGGACACTAAAAATCTACAGATTAAAACCAAGAAAAACTGAACGGAAAGTTCAAGGACGATACCCTTACTTCCAGACTTCCTAGGCAACAAATCAATTAAGGTCAGGAGGAAACACTAAGGAGCTATTGATGTGTGTTTCCTGTTCTTTTATTTTTCCTAGGGATCTTGTACTGCCCATCATTAAAGGCAATGTTACTGCAGAGAGAGAGAGATCCTTGATGTGACCCAGTAGAGAGATCATTTTTCTGCGTGTGATTTATAAACATGTATCTTCAATGAGTGAAGCAAAGTGAAAAGTACCAATAGTGATGAAAGTACACATGTGCACTATTTACCTTGCCACTTAGTAACCAGTAAAGGATCTGAAATGCTGTACACCGGTCGACTTCTTGAAAGGATACCTTTTCCAAAATAGCCCTTCAAAGAAAAGGAAAAATCCTTATTATATCATCGGACAAAAAATAACTTCTTTCCAACTATAAAATATTTACTGCCAAGACCAGCTGAAAAAAAGATAACTGAAATTCTGCAGCATTTGAGCTTCGCTTAAATCCTGTTGCTTAGCTTCTGATAACTAGTTCAGCGTTAAACACCTGCACTCAAAGACTTAACCAGGGGAGAGTATTGGGGCTTTTTCCTCAATTCCACGTCAGTCAGCTTCTCCAAGTAAACTTCTGAAAGCAGATGCAGAAGAAAACACCTGTGTATCAATGCTGTCACAATGCATAATAGAAAACAAAGAAAAGGATAAAGTACTGCATAAGAATGGTGGTGAAATGATACTTGGACATAAGAGGCTTAATGTAGCTTATTTTACTCAGGAAGAAATTGCTCTGAAGTTAAAAGCATTACACAAGCATTTATAAAATGTTAATAGTCCAACCTCCTGAACTTTAAAATCAAGAAAATGCTTTTGCAAGGTTGCATAAAATGTTGAAAGGTGAAATAAACATAACAAACAAAGTCTCGAAGCTGTTTTTTTAGCGCACAACATCACTTAATTCCAAAATTTATTTGCTGGTATAAGGATGAAATACTTTTCACATTTGATACAGAATATATGTCTTGTACTGATTTCAGGGGAAGGAGGAGATATGGAGAATCACTGGAGGCTAAAGGGGAAGGAAAACATAAAGGCAGGCAGATTTTAACAAGTATTATGCTCAACCTATGTCTAAAGCACTAAAAATACTGTGCAGACAGGGTACAGCACCTTGTTATAAAGCTGTTCAATATCTTCAGGGTTCGTCACAATAACATTGTTGTTAATGATTTCAGCCTGGCATATTCTGAAATCCTTTCCACCTACATCCACAGGAAAGGGAGCCTGATATGACTCAAAAACTCTTCTTTTCCTTCTTGGGGGATGAAAAACTGCTTCTGCCATTTCCTAATATGAATGTCTCCTCCTAAAAAGTAGAAACAAAACATTTAACATTCAGGAGTTAAAGTTCACCCATTTTTACATGCTTCAGCAATATTCCCTTCCCAACAGCAAATTAGCAACAAATCCTACAGTATAACCCAAGTTTAATTCTGTAACTATTATGCCAATTCTGTACCTATTATGCCAGACAAACGTAAGCAGCAATCTGCTGGTGTTATCTGTTAATCTTTTTCTCTGGGGCACTGCAGTTTCCCCTGCAGACCAGGTAGGGATTGTTCTCGGTCAAGAGTTTATAAAATAAACTTAAGATGAAAGGCAAGTACATAAGCTACTGAAAATGTTTCAAGAATAAAACAGACGAATAATTAGAATAAGCAGAAACCACAGCAGACAAGTGTCCAAATATAAACTATTTTGAATAATTACGGGAATAAGTTTTGAAGAAAGAGCCGTGGCTTGGCAGGTTTCTCTCTTTTAAACAGGGAAACCGGAGAGATGAGGCGGCGGGGACAGGCCACCCTCCCGGCCAGGCAGCACCAGCGAGGAAGGGCCCTGCCCGCAGGCTTCAGCCGGGCCGCAGAGCGGGGCATGAGCCCTGCCGGTGCCCTGGCACAGGAACCGCCCTCACACAGGGCCGGGCCTGTCCCCGGCGGGATCACCGAAACCCGCAGCTCCGCCCGCCCGGCCCCCGGGCCCCCGGCAGGACGCCCGCCGCCGGGGCTGAGGCCGGGGCCGGCAGCGCGGCGCCGCACGCCCGGGCAGCCACCCACGCACCGGCAGCCCCGCCTGGGGCGAGGCGCTGAGGAGCCGGGCGGGGAGCGGAGCGGCGCGGAGCCCCCGCCCCGGCACCGCGGCTACCGGGCGGCCCCAGGCCGGGAACCACCGCTCGCCCGTCGCCATAGCAACCGCACGCCCCATTCCCCCTCCACCGCCACGCACCCGTCACCGCCGCACGAGGAGGCCGCGCGCCTGCAGGCAGCGCCGCGAGACCCCGCCCCCGCCGCCAGCCGCGCGTGCGCACGGGGCGGGAGCGCCTGGCGGGTGGCCCCGCCCCCCCGGCGGCCCCTGAGGGAGGCGCGCGGCCATGGCGGCCATGGCGGGGCTGGGCGTCCCGCCGCGCTTCGGGTCTGGTCCCGCCGGGGCAGCAGGCAGGGTGGGGAGGAGGGGGGGCCGCGCCGCCCCGGGCCCCGGCTGCGGGACGGGCCGCGAGTGAGCGAGGCGGAGCCCGGCGGCACGGCTCCGCGCTGCCGGGCTTGATACTTCAGTCGCGTCCGCCGGTGGTGAGCCTGCCTCTGCTGGCGATTTAAAAATAATAAAGTGCGAGGAAAATGACATTTTGTGTGGAACACCCATCCTGAAATGAATGATGAGTTTCATAATGAGGGGCATTTAAGATATATGGGTGGATGGAAATTTATAGCTGTGGGAGGTGAAGCAGAGATAAAATTTTCAGCTTGAAGCAATTCGTTTTGGCTCTGTGACAAACGCTTGACATGGCCTTGACTCATAAAACTGCCTGGGATAATGCAGTGCTACTTCCACAGCTTGTTAACAGAGGTAGTTGTGATTGTGCAGCTTCTTACCAGAGCTGAATTCAGGAGGATGTGGCGGTGCAACTTAAAAAAAAGTACCCGAATAAAATGCGAAGCATTTTCACTAGTTAACGAGGAGCAAACACCTCTTCTGTTTTGATGAACAGTGAGCTTGTTACCAGTTTGAGCCTTGCTCATCAAATTCATAATCATACATGCAACTACGACGCAACTATCTTTTCTTCTTTTGAAATTATATTGTGAGGTGCCACTGTCAAAGAGGATCAAGATGTTTTAGCTCCAGGGGGACAGACAGACAGTAGAGAAGTGTGTCTGATTTTCAGTAGAGAGATCAGTGAGTTCCCTGATGAAAAGCTGTAAAAATACATCATAATTATGAGGTATTTTATCTCTTACTCTGATTTTCCAGACAGACTCAAGAGGCACAGGGGGGCAGTAATGCTTATAAGGCCACACAGGAAATCTAGCGCAAACATTAGAATACTAAGCTAGTGTTCTTACAGTTATTTCCTACTGAGGTCTACTTTATATACCGGCTTATGAGTGTTAATTTATTTTTAATGTTGATTCACACACACAGTGTTGAAGGTAAACCACAGAGAACCCTGTGGTATTCCTGTCACCAGTGTACACAGCAATGTTCTGATAACTTCAGGTTCATTCTTGGAGCTCTACCATTAAAGCACCCGTGAGTTAAAGTATTCAGGTAACAACGTGAAAGTAAACCAGTATCAAAGATATCACTTCATTTCAAAATTTCTTCTAAATTAGTCAGATCAAGTCTCAGTTAAATGTAAGTGGAGTTTATCTGTGTTTGATATATCTGTATTTTCTCATTGTGCAGACGCATTACTATGAGACGTACAGTACAGGGAGAAGCAGACAAAACATAAAAAAGCTATAGATCAGTTGCTTTCCTTCACATCTCATTATCTTTGTACAGCCTTGAGAGGGAAACCGCAGCCTACGCCATTCAGTCCATTAACCGAATTACACTCATATTTCTTCAACCAAATATCTGATCCAATTTCTGATTATAGACCCAGATTCTGCTTCAGCCAGAAGTTTTGCTATCTGAAGGACAAGCTGTCTTTAAGATGAGTCATGCCCATTTTTTTTTAGAATATCAATAACTGTACAGACACTTTCACAGATATCTGGATCTCCCATTTTATGATGAGACAGCAAATGACAAGGCGGCAGCTAAATGACTAGGCTGCAGCTCTGAAAAGCAAACCCTCAAGATTATAGTGAATCACACACGGGGGATGAATCAGAAATGTCATACTGCTTCCAAGAGTCAGGAAGAGAGTGACGAGTGACCTATGAGAAAAAACTGAAATAACTCAATCTAGAATATGTAAAATGGGCAAAGTAGACCATTGCAAAGAGGGAGACATACACTGTTCTTCATGACCACTGGAAAATAATAGGAGGATCAAGGAGATTATATTGCAAAATAATATGATACCTGTGAGGTGGGGCCACACTGTCATTATCTAGGGGAGTTGTATTATGTCCATCACTGGAAGTTTTAAGAGCAGGTTAGACAAACACCTTCCAGGAACAGTTCAAATAAAGTTAATCGTGTCTTCAGACAAGGGACTGCACTAAAAGCACTGAAGATCCCTTTCATGGGACTTCCCTGGATTTATCCTTCCAGAGGCTTTTCTGATCTCTCTGCAGTGCGGCAGAAAATGCAATACTCCGTACTGCCCTACAGAGGCCGAAAGCCTGCAGCTTTTGTTAAATCATCTTTCAGCTTTCCGTTTCTGTTTTACTGTCTTTTGGTTCAGGAATGTCACTATGAGAACAGACTACTTCATGTTGTCTCTGGCTGATTCACTGCTTCTAATGCAGAGTACTTGATCTCTTACTATTTCTTGATACTCAGCCGGATTATTCCATTGTTCTTTATTAAATTAAGGTCCAAACCAATGTCAGCTTTCTGAAAAGACTCGTATGACCCTCTTTTCCAAATCATGATGAGAACAGCTTGGTTGTAACCCTTCAGTTCTAGAAATGCATTGCCTTAAACTTTGTCACAGTTGCCTTTGCTGCATAATTTTCAGCTGTCCGTTGCCGGACTCTCGATGTCCCGGTGTTTACATTGCCATACCCAGGATTTCCTATAGCACTGTCCCGTTTGGGGACACCAGTGCAGGCACAGTAGACCCTCTGAACTAGCAGTGTGTCTTTCCAGGGGGGAAGTTGCTAGCTTCTGCTCAGTGTTGTTACAGGGTTTCTCAGTCAGTGGTAGAGGAGTAGAGCTGAAAAATAGTTCCAGTGGAAAGATGCTCTCACCATCAGGCTTATTCAACTCTTTCTGTGGCCACATACATGGTAATATACTTTAAAATCTGCATAAGCATTTGCAATCACGTACTCTCACCCTTTCTGCGGTTTATTGTGTCCTTCCACTACAGCTGTTGTATTACAAAGTTCATCTGGAATCATTTACATGAAACATTCCCTTTATACAATAAGATCTCATTTAATATTATATTAATTAATATTTAACAGCTAATAATAACTAATTTTCATGCTGAGAAGATTCTACTGCCAGTAAAATTAAGTTGCCACACGCAGGAAATTGCTAAGGAGCTTTGTTATCCAAGGTGGTTGTTTTCTGGATGTTTGGGGATTTTTACAGGGAGTTGGGAAGTTAATTCCCAGTCCTATCTCAGACAAAACATACAGGCCAGGTACTCTTTAAATACATATTTTACATTCTTAGGCTTATTAAAAGCAACAGAAATGTCAACCTATAAAACTATTTGCCTATGTAGCACTCTCAAGGAAATAGTCATAAAATCATAAAAGAATGACCTATTCTTGTAGTGTCTTTAGGTAATTTTGGATTGCATACCAAAAAAAAAGATTTTTTTTTTTTTGCATAGAATCCCATGAAATTCAAGGCATGATTTTTCACTAGGTTTATTTCTGCCTCTTGTTTCCAGAGAATGTGTCTGTAAAGTTATCCCATACTAGTTATCATCCTCAAAAGAAACACTATGACACTATCTTTTCAATAAAGCTCGTTCCTTTCTCACAAGGTGTTTTGAACAGTAATTGGAGGATGGGCTGTAGTTATTTACATTAGCCAGTTCTAGTTTCCCCAGACTGACCGAAATTCCCATGGAAATTCTGGTTACATTAACTTTGACAGAGATACAGGACTGTTTTTGGAAACTTTAAAAAAAAAAAAAAAAACAACAAAACAACTGGGGAATAGTTTTCATTTTTATTAATATGCAGTATCTTCATTTTGTTTATTAAAGAAATAAATCAAGGTTAGTTTCTGCTTAGTTTCAGATGGTTTTCACAGGAGACAAAAAAAGAGAAGTCAGACAAATATTGGCCAAGCATCAACCCAGTAAGAAATCCCATAATAGCAGAAATCCCGAGGTGGATGGCAATAAAGGGAATAGCATGAGAAAAGCGAACATTAAAAATGAGTATGTAGTTACCATACTTCAGATATGGAAAATTTTTTTGTGTTCTTGGAGATTAAACATACTTTGATGAGGAATTCTTACAGAACCATGTGATCCAGCTGACATCCCATCTTATCAGGGTCTCTCTGCAGACATCGCAGTGCACAGTGTCACTTTTTTTGTCCTCATAGCTGGCTTTCAATTTGTATTACAAACTATATGTGCTTGAAAACATAAACCTTAATTTTCACTGCATTGAGGCTTTCAACACCCCTGAAATTATCACTTTACTTCTCCCCATGGAAACGAATGCAAAAGTTCTGAGCTTGCAGTTTCAGGGGAAATTAGGGGCACTTGCAGCCTCTGATTTTTGCCAATTCCTTGAGCTCCCATATCAGCTTTATTTACCTTTTGATGAAGGAACAAATGTTTCTTGGGTCATTAGTTTTTCTGCTTCATCAATCACCTAGGTAAGCTGTTAAATGATGCACAGCTTCTGTTTTGCCAAATTCTGACTCTATCACCTTCACCTCCTGCAACTAAGCAATGGGCTGGGCAGTGAAAAGCAAGGACAAAACTCCAGGCGCCAGCAACATAGCCGGTAAAAGCCCATTTCTTTTTTTTTTTTTTTTTGTATTTCCATTGGAAAGAAAACTGTAATAAATAGATGTCTCCACTAGATGTCCATATTTCGGCAATTTTCAATTATAAATTCAATGAAGGTAGCTGCTTTGTGCAAAA